AATACCATTCTTGGACCTAGCTGCCTCTATCCCTAGGAAGTACTTTAATTTGCCAAGATCCTTTGTCTGGAAGTGATCATGCAGGTAAGTCTTCAACCTGTCAATCCCTAGTCTGTCACTGCCTGTGATAACAATATCATCTACATATACCACCAATAGGATCTTCCTTGCATTGGATTCATAGCTAAATATGGAATGGTCAACCTAACACTGTTTCATTCCAAACATTTTCACCACTTCACTAAATCTCCCAAACCATGCATAGGGAGATTGTTTAAGTCCATAAATAGCCTTCTTAAGTCTACATACCTTGTCACCCTCCCCCTGAGCAACAAACCTTGGTGGTTGCTCCATGTACACTTCCTCAAGGAGATCACCATGTAAAAAAGCACTCTTGATGTCAAGCTGAAACAAGGGCCAATCAAACATAGCAGCAAGAGAGATCAGACAAACCAACCCAATTTTGGCAACTGGAGAGAAGGTGTCTGTGTAATCGATACCACATAGCTATGAATAACCTTTGGCAACTAACTGAGCTTTCAACCGTTCAACACTCCTATCAGGTAAGTATTTAACCGTGTACACCCACTTACAACCCACAACATGCTTACCAAGCGGAAGAGTGGTGAGGTTCCACGTATGAGTACGAGTCAGGGCCGATAGTTCTTCTTCCATTGCTTAGTGCCACCCTGGAGAAGTGAGAGCTTCCTGCACATCCTTGGGAACAGAGACAGAGGATAACATAGAAACAAACTAGCGATGGGAAGCCGAAAGGTGAGAAACGGGGGGTGGGGCTGGGGTGGTAACAACTGTCGGATCTGTCAACGGTGACGAAGCTGGAGGAGGAGCTGGTGCCTGACGATGTGTATACACTTGCCGGATAGGTGGTCGTTCCGTAGGTAGTTGCACTGGAGGCAAAGACTTGGTCACAACTGGAATAAGGGGAATGGGGTCCTCAACTGGAACTGGAAGAGGAGGTTATAGCAATAGAAGAGAAGAAACATCTAACCCAGAGAAGAAACGAACAGACTCAAAGAATGTAACATCAGGACACACAAAAGAACTGTCGGAAACTAGGATTATAACATTTATACCCTTTTTGAGTCCTAGAATAGCCAAGGAAGATACACTTAGTGGATCTAGCATCTAACTTGTCCATTCCAGGCCCAAAATTATGAACAAAACACATCCAAAAACTCTGGGAGTAAGGGGAAAAGGAGACAACGTGGGAAACAAAATAGAGAATGGGGACTGACCTTCAAGGATAGACATGGGCATGCGGTTAATAAGGAAGCAGGATGTAAGTACAACATCACTCCAAAAGGGTTTGGGAACATTCATATGATGTAAGAGGGACCAAGCAGTTTCCAAAAGGTGATGGTTCTTTCTCTCAGCCACCCCATTTTGTTGAGGAGTGTAGGTACATGAGATTTGATGGATAATTCCATGTTGTTCCAAATATTCTTGAAATGGTATGTAAAAATACCCGCGGCCATTATCAAAAATGGAAAATTTTAATGTGTACACCAAATTGATTGCGAATCTCAACATAAAATTTTTGGAAAATAGAAAACAATTCACTCCTTTCTTTCATGAGGTAAAGCCATGCCATCCTTGAATAATCATCATCAAAAATTACAAAGTACTTGTAACCATTATAAGACACTATTCTGTTTGGACCCTAGATGTCCGAATGGACTAAAGAAAAAGGACTTGATGTATGACTATCAACTCTAGGATGAAAGGGAACACGATAATGTTTCCCAAACTGGCACAACTTACAATTCAAAGTAGAAAGACAACTCAACGACGGAACAAGTAACTGAAGAGCTCTAAGAGATGGATGATCAAGTCTACAATGCCACTGATGAGGAGAAAGAGATGTCTAAAGGGCTGTTGTCGAACCACCTCCATCAAGATAATACAGTCCGCCAACTTCATGCCCTCCACCAATCTTCATCCCCGTCTTGAGATCCTGAAACACACAAGAGGAAGGGTAAAAAGTTATAGAGCAATTAAGAGACTTAGTCAATTTACTAATAGACATCAGGTTAAAGGGAAACTTAGGAACATACAAAACTGAGGATAGGGATAATGAGTCTGTATCAACATTACCAACACCACATATGGCAGATGTAGAACCATTGGCAAGAGTAACAGATTGTGATGTGGAGGACGGGGAAATGGATGAAAACACACTTGGAGTCCCAGTCATATGATCGGAAGCTCTAGAATCTATAATCCAATGTGAAGGTTTGGATGCCAAACAAGCCGTACCTGAGTGTGCAAGGGTAGTCGTGTTTTGCTAAGATGTACCCTGAATGAACCACTCATACTCATCCCGTGGAACACTCAACATCTCTTTTCTAGAGGCATCTGTATATGTAGAGGGTATCTGATCAGTATGCTGAGATTCTTGTCTCGAACCACCACCATTTATGGCTGCATGATTTGCCCAAGTGGAAGGTGGGCCATGTAGATCATAGCAGAAGTTGATAGTCCCCCCATACCACAATGTGTACACCTCCTCTGAGTATTACCACTTCCTCTACCACGGGCTCCCCCTTGAGTCTTGACCTCCAACACAACCACCACCACGACCATAGATGGGTCCACCACCACTACCATGGCCAGGTTGACCTCCTCTACCACCACGGCCTCCCCCTCTCGTAACTGCAAATGCAGACCTATCTGATATAGTGGAATTCTCTATGGGTCCAACTGAGATCCTCCGAAGATGAGCAAACACTTCCTCAAGAGAGGGAAGAGCAGACCCACCTAGTATTTGTGCCCTTACCGGTTCATATTCAGACTTCAACCCTACTAAAAATCTGGTCACATCCAACTCCTCTCTTTGTTATTGCTGAATTTTGACATCAAGTGTAAGAGGGTGATACAGATTCAACTCATTTCGCAGATGTCTCATACTTGTGTAATAGTCCTCAAGACTCTGATTCCCCTGTTGCAAATTGAAATACTCTTGGTACAGTTGGTAAGCCCTAGTAGTGTTATCTTGTCCAGAATAAAGCTTTCTTGCATGATCCCAGACCTCATTGGGTGTATCTAAAAACATGAAGTTCACACTGATTTTGGATTTCATACTGTTCCAGAGCCATGTCATAATTTGAGCATCCTCTTGCTCCCACTCATCATATCCCTGAGAATCAATTGGGGGTTTTTCTTCCCTCACATGCTTCACTTTCTTCTTGGCTTTTAGAAAAACTTCAACAGATTTAGCCCAAGGCACATAATTCTCACCATTCAGTTTTATAGAAGTCATCTGCACATTCAAATAATCAGAAGGGACCATCACACTTGATTTGCATTCACTGCTGTCTCCCATGACTGCACAAGGAAAAAAGGGAGAAATTCTACCACTAGGTTGTCACTCTACTGCACTAATTAGTCACTACACTACACACTAACAACTGAATACTACTAGGGTTCCTACTATCATAGGTTTCAGCAACAACACTCACAATTCTTCACCACTGTTAGCAACAACACCACTGCTGCCATCCACTGTCAGCACCATAAATCCTCACAATACACTTCACGAATAGGACATTTAGTTTTGCAACATATCAAAAAAATTTTTTTTCTGCTACACAACACAATTTGATTCAGAGATCATGTACCTGTTTCACCAAATCTTCACTGTCACCATCCTCATGAAACCAACCCTCTTTGAACTGCCGAGTAGAGGGTTTTCTACCAACCACACAAAACCACAACAACAGCACTCATTGGAGGCATGAAAACCCCCAGAAGGAGAAAATGACAAGTCCTTTTTTTTTCTGAGAAACTCCTAGCTATCAGTGAGAATTCTGCAAAACCCTAGGAGAGAATGCGCAGAATAGAGAGAAAAGAAGGAGACTGATCTGAACTGATTATCGTAGCTCTGATACCATGATAAAATTCAGATATAGTGTCCGTATGATTTCAGATAAGAAGGAGAAGAAGAAGAACAGTTTCAGTTGAACTAGAGAGAAAAACACCTTCTCTAGTCGGCCAGCCTTTATTTATACTTTTCTAAATAAACAAGAATTACTCTTATGCCCTCACTTAAGTGAGAGCCACATCAGCTAAACAATTAACATATAACTTAATATAAAAGGTCTATACTACCTTTCTACAGCCGACTCTAACACACCTAAAGGTACGAAACTAGAAAACAAATGTGCCCACCCTTCTCTGTTCTCTCCAATTGGCAACCAAATGCTTTGGGAAGTTTACTAGTTCTTCCTAGATGATTAGATGATGCCTCTTGAAGCTGTATGGTGTAAGTAATTGTTGTCAAAGACACTTCAGTAGCCAATTCCTTAATATCTTTGCTCCTTGTAGTTTTTTTCCTCGGGATGTTCTTGTTCAATTGTAGATCTCCTTACTAATTGTTTGTGGTCACTTTAAATCCAAATCCCAGTATTTTGGAAAGATTAACTTTAAGTTTTAATTCATGATGGCCACAACCAGTGAATGATGGTTGGTTTTGACTCTTAAGTGATTCACAGAGAGATTTTGTTCTACCTGTAGAAGTGGGTTTATAACTCATAAGTGAAAACCCTTGAAAAGCTATTTCTCTACAGTCCAAACAATATCATGTGCACTTGGTTTTGACTATAAGTTAAGTATGGATGTCATCATTATCATCATCAAGGTTTATCCCAACTATATGGGGTTGCTACATGAATCCTGTCAAGTTTGCTTGGATGCATTATATAAAAACAACAACAACAACAAAAATCTCAAATTTTCTGGCAGTGTAGAATTTAGAGGATCATTGCATTGGTACAGGCTTAACCAACTCTCAAAATCTTTATATTAGTGGGGCAAATACATCTTAAAATTCAGTGAGAAAAATATTTAATATTCTTGCTAAGTCATATAGGAGACTATAACATATTTGTAGCATGACATTTATGACTCTGAAGCAAATTAATTGCCTGCATATTTACATATCTCCGATTTAGCTATTTGTAATGAGTTGTTTTCTACTGCAGCTATACCTTGTTCAGGATGTTTGATGATTTAATACTTCTAGCCAAAGGTGGTCGTACTGTGTATCATGGATCTGTGAAGAAAGTGGAGGAATACTTTTCAGGCCTGGGGATCCATGTCCCTGACCGTGTTAATCCTCCAGACCACTTCATTGACATTCTGGAGGGTATTGTAAAGCCAAGCCCAGATGTGGATTATAATAAACAGCTTCCTGTCAGATGGATGCTTCACAATGGATACCCAGTACCGCCAGACATGCAGGAGGATGCTGGAATTACAATGTCCTCAGAAGGTGTTAATCCAAACAATGGAACAAATCCTGTTGGAGGTGAAGGTGAAGAGCAGTCTTTTGCTGGAGATCTATGGCAGGATGTGAAATGTAATGTTGAACTTAAGCGAGACCATATACAGCACAATTTCTTAAAGTCTAAAGATTTATCCAATCGAATTACTCCTGGTGTGTACACACAATACAAATACTTTCTTGGAAGGTAGATATTTAATTGTTTCTTTTTCTTTATAGAACATACTGCCAAACATTCTTAATTTTCTAAAATATATTGGAAAATAATAAAAGAGGTAAACTCTGGAACGGAAAATGACAAAATGAGTTAGTTGAATCCATAATTATTTTGATACTAAAAGATTTTTTTTTTTTGAGGGGATAAAAGAATTAGGTTTATGTGCAAACATTTTGCATATTATCTGGAATCTTCCAGTTAACACACATTCATTTACAATTGGGTCCAGAAAAATTGATCCCTATTGACCCCTTGTTTAGCCCAGACATCAACCGAACTGTAGAAAGCTGCCAATAGGTCATATTTAGACCAGATATACCTGTATTCAGATATGATCTAATTACATATTTAGGATATCCATATTTTATTTGGAATAATCAACTCACTGGATTTCAGATTGGAGTTGGATCAACTTTAGATATGACAACGTTTTTCATTAATCAAAATTACTTTTCTGAGTTTTAAATCTACAACTTTACAGAGTTGAGAAAAAAGAGATGAGAAGAAGAAGTTTGAAGAAAAAAGGGTGGCAGATACTCTCTTCTCTACCATCCAGCCCCTATTAGGTTATAAGTTTAAAAGGAGTAAAATAACAAGGATGCCCTTGTCAGTGTCATTTATATGAATGAAACACGCACAAGTAAACACTTTAGCAGGCAGGGAAAAAACAGGTCTAGCTTGACAAAGAATAGAGATGGGAGAATGCATACCCAATCCCTGGAATGGCATCATATTTATTAGGTATGGACTGTGAGAATCGCATGAGACCAATAATTCTTTGGACCCTGTGCTGAAAGAGTTGGGCACAAGCAGTCTCAATTAAGGTGTCAATTCTTCCTCTCTGTGGCTCCATTTTGTTGAGGGGTAAATGTAAATGGTGATTGATGTAGAAAGCCTTCATCTTCAAGAAAGATGTTCAATGACCAAGCAAAATATTCCATAGCATTATTTCAAAATAGTTGTTTAATTTTCTTTCCAAACTGTGTTTCAATCATTTTGTAGAACACCATGATAATTCTTGGAACTTCGTCACGACCTTTCATTAGGTAAATCGAAGTACATCTCAAGTAATGGTCAATGACAGATCTTAAAGAGGCGATTAAGATTGCTGGGCTCAATGGAGAATTGAGTGGGGCCCAGGTCATGAATGTTGATATTAATGATAGTAGGAAGGCCAATCAGTCTTGGAAGGGTGAAGAGGACAAATGAAGCCTTCTAGGTTTCAATTGCCCAAATTTTAAAAGGCATGGGGGGTTGGGAAGAAGATGTTTGGCTAAGGTAAGAAAGGAAGAGGAAGAAAGATGGATTAGGTGATCGATGAGTATGACAGAAGTGGTAAAAGGACGATTGTCGGAAGAACAGAGGAGGATTTTGTTGATTCACAGTTCTCAGACTGTTAAAGTTCACGTTACTGCTGAGTATGCTGAGGATGTTGCGGACAAACCAGCATTGTTGGACTTAGGGGAGGACTCTTCTGTTGAGAAGGATAGATTGGAAGAGGGGGAGGAGGAATCAGTGGAAGGATGTGTTCTTGGCAGAGGGCTATAGTCATAGGCAGCAGCGAGGACTGTTAGAATGTGAGTCACATGGTGATTATCTTTGTTTTGGAGAGGTGAAGGTTGGAAGGTTGGGTGTTGACTTGTGTTGAAGGACTAAGGTTGAAGAGAAGATTGAGGAGTTTAATGGGGTGATAGCCTAGGTAAGAAAGTGTGTGGTTCAAGAAATCCTAATGTTGTGCATGTGGCAAAAATCTTTTCTAGGTTGAAGCTTGGTTTGGCGGGAGCAGGACCTACAAAAAACTATAAATGGGTTTATAGGAATTCAAGGATCTTTAATGAGTAGTACAGGTCAAAGGAAGAAATTGTGGAAACTATAAAGATAAGAGTTGCACATTGGGTAAAAACTCTTGAGTTCTTCCAAAGTTTCTCAATGACTGATATAGTAAGGGCATGGAATGAAGTGGCACACTCCTCCAAGAAGGAAGAAAGAAAGGTGATGAAATGGAAGCCCCCAAGTACCAACAAAATCAAGCTAAACTTTGATGGAAGCTGTTTAGGTAACCTGGGTCTGGCAGGCATTGGCAGTGTGTTTAGAGACTCTTCAAGCAAAGTATTGGCAATGTATTCAGGTCCTTTGGGGATAGGTGACTCTAAAAAGTCTGAGCAGTTAGAACTGCTACAAGGTCTAAATCTTGCTAAGAAAGCAGATTTAAGAAACCTGGAGGTTGAAGGGGACTCACAACTGGTGATCTCTTGGATTACCAATAGGAGTAATGCTCCTTGGATTATTATGCACTCTCTAAGGGAGATTGAAAGCTTTGAAAGGGATCTCAGTGCCTCTTTTACATGGATTAGGAGGACTGCCAATGGGATAGCTGATTCTTTAGCTAAACAGGGGGTCTACAGGCAGCAGCTTTTCTGGGCTGTATTGTAATATTTTGTTGGGCATAAATTGTCTTTCTATCCTCTTCTGTATTTCTGTAACCTATTTACTCAGTTATTAATAAAATTCTTCTTCTTACTAAAAAAGATTGAGGACTTTCAGCATTTGAAGCATTTTCTCCCAATCTAATCTCTTTTGAAGTAACCTCATTAGTGTTGGAAGACATTTATGAATCTGAAAAATAAACTTTAGCTAAGTGTGAACATTCTTAAGAATAGAAGAAAACTGGACAAAAACAATATAAGAAGAGAAAAGAAAAGGGGAGAAGGGATGAGAAGAGACAGTGAGAGAGAACTAGGGCTGTGGCAGAGAGAGAAGAGAATAACTTCCTCTAAATGCCACCCCACTTTTATTATAATAATAAACCGATACTCCTACTTAAGTAACAATTAAAAGAGAAACAAAAGTGTAGAGAGACTAGGCCGAATGGGCCCTAGCCCATTATTTTCTTATTATTGTTCTTCTAGTTACTTTATTTGTTAATGGGCCTGTTAATGTTTTTTATGTCTTTTTTAAGTAGACTGATGAGCTGGCCGCCCACTTAAGGGCAGACTTGTAATTTGATTAGTTTTAATGAGATTAATAAAAGTTAAGAGAGGTAGAAGGAGAGACCATCGAACTCTTCTTCTTTCTCCCTTCTTCTCCATCTTCTTCTTCCTTGTTGTCTTCTTCTTTTCTTTCTTTCTTTGCTTAAATCTGAAATTATTTTGCAGAACTTTATTGGATTAAATCACATCTCGGTAACAGAGCAAGGCTTCTTTCCTTCTCTTTGTTTCTTTTTTCTTTCTTTTCCCATACACCCTTCGATTAGAAGAGTGTATGGAGAGATAAGTTGTTGATTGTTCTGAGAACTTTTATGCCTAATTGGTAGAGGGTTTGGAGAGTTAGAATCTGGCTGTAGACTGCCAAGAAAGTGAGGCTATTGTTTTTTGCCCAAAACCCAAGCGAATAGAGAGATTCCATTACAGGTTAAAGAGACAGTTTGGGTGTGGTGCTCAAGGCTTTTGGGGTTCCTTTTTATCTCTAGAAGAGGGCAGTTGCAGTTGGAAGAAGTTCAAGAAGCTCTAGTAGGAGCGGTTGCTTCTTCTCTCTCTCTCCTCGAAAGTCGAGTGCAGAGAAACCCTATATTTGGGACCTTCAAGTACTGGACTGGCCTCAGTTAGGTCCATAAAGAATAAAAACCTTGTTTTTGGATATTCGTTTAGTCAATGGAGCAATCTGGAAGTGAGATGAAGCAAATTCTAGTGTTTGGGGTTGGTATCATAGATTCTGTTTTGACTGGATTGGACTGACTTCAATCAACCTTAATGGAACAAATTATTTGGCCTGGGCATAATCTTAGTAGTCGATCAAGACTACAATCAGTCTTGAATTCGAAAGAAAAAGGAGAAATTTCAGAAGAAAAGAAGAAGAAGAGAGGGAGAAAAGAAAAGGCACACAAAGGGATTTAGAAAAGAGAGAGAGGGTTGATCAATTGAGACAAAACCCTTTCTCTGACAAAATGTCGGTCGACTTCGATATGCTTAGTTCTGTCATGTTGTACCGGATTATGAGCTATATTAATAGCAGCCTGATTATCACAATACAACATTAAGGGCTTCTCATAAG